TTCGGCTAATTTGGACGAAAACCTGGATATGACATTATTTATTCATGTATTACTGTAAATGGAGCAAATCGAAAGTAAGTTCTTTTGTAGATGCTTCAATAGAGAATATAACTATGAAATATTTTTTAAGTTTTTAGGCGAAATTTAAACTTACGTACCTTAGCAGTCTTTGATGAAAATAAATGCAACGTTTTTGATCCAATAACTTACAATTTCCATTTTCATTAAGAGAAATTATGCGATCTTTTATATGTTTAAAATATCCGGAGCTGATCATCATCAGGAGAGGTGTTGCAGCATCGCATACTGCAGTGTAAATTATTGCGTTTTGAACTAAAACCAATTGTAACGCAAATATCGCCCAATATCCTGGCCAAGTATTTTCCGTATCATCGGCAAAAAAGCTGTATAATTTTTATTTCAACTCTGAGTACAATATTAACATAGACATTAATTTTAATAGTGTAAACATTACGATAACATAAAAGTGTTTTATATTGTTAACTTAACAATGATTATTATGTCTTCATACAGAAATTAAACACCGCAATGAACCAAATTTTTAATTTGAAGAATAATTTTTGTGGGTCCACTGTAGCTTATCTTATAGAAAATTAATCGATAATACACGTTAGTGCAATAGAAGTATTAGTTATAATTGACAGAGTCACTTGTTTTTTGTCTAGATATCCGGACTTTTCGACTTGATTGAATATACCTAATCAATTGCGATATGAAATATTGCATACCCTAAAAACATGTACTCAATAAAAGAAAAATATACTTGTAAGGCAAAGTTCTACGCCTGGTGCCATTGGGTTCATGCTGACGGTCCGTGTAAAGCGCATCCACTGGATACAAGATATTTACGAAAATGAGGCTGCCGAAGAGCATTAAGTAGACTCGTCGGAGTTTGTTTTCATAGATTTTTACAGTTTGGTGCCCTTCATCAGTGCAGAGACAGTATAAGGCTCGAGCCTCGTTGTATAGTGATTGAAAAATCTTCCGTTTGTACATCATAGTATTGAAACGAAAATTTAAACCAACCACTAGCACCATCTCGCTTATATCTTGCAATCGTACTGATTTCTGTAATCCAAATTACCAATTATATTTTTACTGAAAGATTCAAAATCAACATAAAATATATATTACATTAAAATATTATCAATAATCTTCCAATATTTAACATTTCACTAAACTTTCATAAGAGTTATAGCTCAAATAAGAAAATATATTTGACCATTTTTTCAGTCTGATCTTACGATAATGTTATTGATTATTAACATGTACTTAAGAGAATAATTTTGTCGGAAATTATGAGAAATATATTTCGCATGATCCAATTACCGTAGTGAAGCAATATACAGTGAACATGGACCAGTGGATCATGCTTGAGACGAATAAATAATAAGTAAGTAACCGAGTGACGATGAAATCAAAATCGCGTCCCTCGAACGGCATCACTGCTATAAATCTTAATACGCGCACATACAATAGGCACATCCGATCAAAAGTTCTTTGTAATTCTTTTTCATCGACGACCTTCATCATTTGCTTAGTCACTGAAAAAAATGCAGTTAAATTAAATAATTTACTGAATGATTGCCATAATATTTAGACGATGCCAACACATCACTCACTATTGTTTATGTGAGGCTACTTCTGCGAAAGCGAATAGCATTCTGATAGCAAAACAAAAGACCAGCCGATCGCTTGCATTATAAAAGAGAAAGTTCATCAACAACATCTATAATTACGGCTAATTCCACCGCACAACCCATCATTACTGGGACCTGCGCACTGGCTGCATCGCTGTTTAGGACAATTTTTTGCGACAGTCCGCACTCAGCTCTCTCCTCGATATAACCACGCAATGTGTATCGGCCAGATAGATTATTGGTTTCGATCTAATCTGTTATATTGAATAAGATCTGACCGAATATTTATTTCTATGTGTTGAAGATTTCTAGACTTCAAAAAGCGAATAGAATACTGCATAGAATACTGCCAATCATAAAGTATTCAAATGCAAATATTTTTCACATCAACTGATGTAAAATGTTTTGCAAAAAATACTGCCGATCTGTTGCTATATTGGAAACTAAGTTTCAATACAATTACACATTTAAAAAGTTATTAACTAAAGGTCAATGTTCGATTCAGCGGTGAATAACTGAATCAATTTACTTACAATAACTAGACTAAATGTTTAGGAAGGTATATGTATTGATAACGATAAGGCATAAAAAACCTCAATGGAACTGTATTAAAATATATAACAAATAATTTTAGTAAAAAGCAATATAACAGAGGATCGATGAGCCTGTACAAGTGATTGTTTTCGTGAAATGGGCGATTCACTACGCAGCGAAATCTCTTACTTTTTTACCTAACGTCGCAGTGCATACGAGAGAGAGAGAGAGAGAAGGTACTAGAGTAGTAGGTGTTACGCCAGGGCGACGTCTCGTAGACCCCGCGGCCAGCACTCAGGACGCCGACTTGAGGGGAAGGATGAGCACTTCAGAGGACCGTCGTATCATTAACACTAATACGCTAGCTCCTTACAGCGTCGCACAGGTATAAAGGTACTCGGACACAAAAAACGGTGTACACAAGTACGGTTCACGCAGTCACACTTGTCACCGTCCACCGAAAAATACACACGAGTGGTTGAGCAAGTGGAATTAAACTATGACTTGGACAAAATGCAAAATTAGGGCGAAAGTGGTGGCTTTGAAAATAGCTTTTGGGAAATTACCGATCCAAACGAAACTAGCTTGACTGGTGGCGGCAGCTCGACAGAAAAAATTAAGTATCACCTATCCTTTTCGGGCCTTTTCGCGGGGGTTCAATCGACGATGTGGAAGTAGGTCGTGGTACTGAGTCTGCGCGAATGCTCTCGCGATTATCTGTGAGACCACGACAAGCCCTTCTTTTATTGCACGGACACGCATCGACTGGCAGAACGTTCGGATTTTTCCCGAACGTGCAAAAAACAAAATGCAAGGATTACAGCAGCTTTTTTTTTCTTAATGCAATGTGAGTTTTATTTTTTGGATACTATGATACCTGTTATAAACAACGTAAAACATTCGCGGCAAATCTACACAGTTTGCGCATATGTTTGACAAATAAAAAAGAAAATACGCGTGCTTAAACAAATAAGGACCGCGGAAAGCGTGAACATGCCGTCCGTCTTCCTCCTTGTAAGAGGACGAACATCAACACACATTAAATCATATTTTTACCTAATATCGTTGTTGTAAAACCTTGACATCTTTTGGTTGATCCAAGGATAAGGATGCCAGGCAGGCTATGTATCGTTAAAGAGTGCTGGTAGCAGTCTCCATAGTCACGACTTTAACAAGTCCATCGGGTCCAGGGTGAATTGTAAACATGCGTCCAAGTGGCCACTTAGCAGGAGGGTACCGATTCTTCTTCAGGATAACAATTTGATTGACAGCGAAATTAGTAATGGGATTCTATTATTTAATCCTCTTGCTCTGTAGAACGTACTCGGATTGTCAAAATTTTCAAAATTACAAATTACAAAAAAAATTACGTTGAAGTTGAAAATCGAAGTGATTTTCCGGAACTGCAGGTATGGCTTCATCGGGAAGGGCATCGGTAACAGCATCAATGAGGAGGTGCAATGGCATGGAGCTTGCAAGTCATCTGTATCCAATTTCAGCGGGCACAGCGACCGTTAATTGAGACAAGTCTTAGCCTCGACCAAAACAGCTAATTTTTCCTCGAACATAAGAACGATGCGTTCTCCAAGCATCCTCTTCAGCAAATGCTTAATTTATTTGACGCCTACTTGTACAACACAAGCTTCTGTAGTGTGGGATGTTTGCAAGGATGAACGACCATGAAATACCTTCGATAGCAAAGATGAATGAGGTCTCTTTTTGATGTTTTATCGAACATGGCTCGTCATTTAGCATCATCGCTACAGAACGTCGTAGCATTATCGCTGAAAAACTTAGGTTGGGTGTGACATTTTTTGTCACTTACATTTATACAATAAATGTAAGTAACGGTTTGCGTCCGTTAGTGTATCCTTTAAGCAATGTATATAAAAACTATACATTGATTAAGTAAACCTAAATAATAAGCATAATTAATTTTTTCATTGTTTCAAGTAATGTTTTTTACTACTCGAACTGTTTGGTTCTATAGTAGAGATATGAAGGGTTCCGGAAAGGTTACTTACGTTTCTTTTTATCGCTGCCGGTCTTCTTCAATATCTTGACAAGTGACCGATGTTTTTTTTTTAAATCATCTTGGCTGGCGTCGGTGCAGTTAAATCGCTTGGCGATAATAATGTGATCAGCGCGTTCACGGAAACATCTCATCACCGAAACAGGAGCTGCAGAAAGAAATGTTGTAGAATTACCCAATATTGTTTTTATAAAAAGTGATAGCTCAGTAGCTTCGCTCAGAACAAAAATCCATAAGGTTCAGCACTCATTGAATAGCAATAATGAACGAATATACACACAAATTGTGTAAATGTTGTCGGAATAACTGCAAGAGATACTGCAATCTTGACATGTGATTTGAAGACAAAGTATAGTGAGAAATCTTACGGTTAGGCTTAGATTTGAAATTCGTAACGTATTTTAGCAGAGAAAATGCAATTGCTTTTGTGCAGTCAACATTTCTATGCACATACCATTAATAATGTAATGTATATCACGACGATGCCGAGGAATATGATACTCTTTTTTTTTTCTTAAAAATTTAATCTTAAGATAAAATAAAAATTTTACACGTCTAATAATATAGGAAATAGAATAAATTTTTATTTTCTCAATGTGCTTTCATCTAACAATTGTGACCTATTTTACAGTAACAAGACGTTTATGAACCTAGTCGACCTGCGATTAGTTAGAATATTTCAGAACTTATTAGTTATGTCTCCACTGCTGCTGTTAACGTAAGAGTCTTGATAAAACAGCGAAACTGACACGGACGTGCTTGTACGACGTCTTCTATAAGTCAAAATTACGTAGTACAGTAAAGAAGGAAAATACGTTTTTTATTATCTGAAACATTGCAAAATAAAATGTCTGTTAGATTGCCAATATAATACGCACAGAAAAATCTAATACATACGTTACCGAAACTCTCTAGAGACAATGGAATAAAACCACCAGCCAAAAACTTAACTGGCATCTGAGCTCTCATTATTACAGTAAGTAAATGTTTATTAATCTCGTTACTGTTATAAGTTCCAATGTAAGCAGTGTAAGCAGCATAAGCTATCTGCTCGCTCTAATCGCAAGCACACAATAACAATCTACGCAGCAGTATTTTAACGATTTCAGCGTATTATATTAAATATAAGTACTTACTTCCTCATGCACATGGTCGGGTGCCCACTGAATCAGAAATAATTGACACAAATATGTGCCCAGTAATGCGACGTATTTGTATTTGTCGGGGTCTGACTAAAAATGCAATAATAGATTTAGTTTAATGACATGAATTACGTATATGCTGTTCGCACTCACACTGACGAGCTTGATTAAGATGATAGATATATTATATCCGGTACTCAGAATTTGCGTTAAAAGCATCGTAGCAGCGAATTCGGCTAATTTGGACGAAAACCTGGATATGACATTATTTATTCATGTATTACTGTGGAGTCGCGTTCGAGCAGCCGTAGCGAGCAGACGTGTTTTCCGATGTAAACATAAACATTCTCCACCTCTGCTGGAACAGTAAGCTAACTCAGAACAAGTCCGCGAATAGTTTACCGCTGTTAAATTCTTTTCTGGTTCTTGACTGCGGTTGCAGCCAAAACCGAAAATGGCCACCCAAAGCGGTGAGCCCTCGAACCAAGAAACCCAAAGTGCTAGTAAAACCCAAGTTCATCAATCCTACGCAAAGGTCACTTCCAGTTCAATAATGCCAAAAAAAGACCAAGCTATTGTTATAGATTCCATTGAAGGCTGTACCATAGAAGACTACATCGACGGTCTCGAAGCCCTTATAGACGCCTCCTACATTAAATACATCTCAAAGATCTCTGGAAATCGTGTGTGCACCTACTTAAGTGATAACGCTCTTGTTGAAAAGCTAACTAACAAAATGGTCCAAGTCAAAGATTTTACCCTCAAAATTCGCCCACTACTAGAAAAGAACAAAAGGGTGGTCCTATCCAATGCTTGCCCAGTAATACCGAACGAAGTTTTCATTGAAGCCTTAAAAAATAAAGGCATTACAATAGTATCCCAAATGAACAACATCAGAGCAGGACTAAATAAACCAGGGCGATCACATATTCTCTCTTTCAGACGCCAAGTATACATCAAAGAGGAAGATGAGCACCTGCTACCACAATCGCTACAAATCACCTATGAAGAAACTCAATACTGGGTATATCTAAGCACCGAATCAGCCCACTGCTTTGTTTGTAAACAGTACGGCCACATAGCTAAAGTATGCCCGCATGCCTCACTAACACAAGCTAACAACACAACCATCAACAACGCTAGAAATCAAGAAAACGCCGAGCTAGCTCAAAATCAACATATCCTTCACGATTCTCATAGCGAGCAGCAAATGGACATAGAAAATCAAATACGTGGTCAGAAGCGGCCCCCACCTTCCTCTATTACCTCCGACGCAACTTCAGGCACTCAAACAACTCCTCCAGAAAATTCTATGCCAACTCTTCAAGAAATTGCGGCCCAGAATACTTTCAAAAAACCCGAGCACAAAAAAACTAAAAAGAGCAACGAAACGGTCAGTATTGAAACAGCATTAGCTCCAGCCAAAGAAGCTTTGGACGGACAAGAGCTAACTATTAACTTTGACCAAATGAAATTGTTCCTTGAAAAATGTCGTGGCCAGCCTAAAATTAATAACATCGCAAAAGAATTCACTCATGATATAAAAGGACTCATAGATACAATTGACATGATCTATCCTCAGCTCTCAAACAGTAATCTCAAATCTAGGCTAACCCGCATAAAGAAAAAATTGTCACTACCATCTGAAGAACTTACAGACTCACCTCAAGAGTCGGACTATTAAGATAAATAAAAACGACAAGTAAAAAACAGCTAAAAATCGCGTTTTGGAATGCACGTAGCATTCTAAAACGTATTGAAGAACTTCCCCTTCTTCTCGTAAATATTGATATCTTTATCTGTGTCGAAACGTGGCTCACTACAGACTATCAAAATTTCAACATACCGGGATTTCAAATATTAAGGAAAGACAGAACGGAAACTGCTGGCGGCGGAATCTTAATCGCCCTAAGAAGTGGACTTAACGCGATTGAACTAAATCCTCTTAATGATGCGAACGGTAAAATCGAAATCTGTGGCGTTAAAATAACCAATGTCACTCCGCAATTAGACATCATTGCCTGCTACAGACCCCCCAGGAACACTCTACTTCAAGAGGATTGGGACGCAGTCGTAAACAACGTAGAAAACAACAGCTACTCTCTTCTCGTCGGCGACTTCAACGCTCACCACCGACAATGGAACTGTTCTGGAGAAGACTCTCATGGTAAAAAATTATACAGTGCGATCGATAAAAAAGATCTTTTAATTCTTAACACGAAAACGCAAACACGTATAAATCCTTCAAATGGTAATAAATCTAACATAGACCTAATTTTTTCTTCATGTAATATAGCTCATACTATTGATACCACCGTTCTCGATGATTCACGCGGCTCTGATCATTTCCCCGTCATTGTAAATATAGACGCAACTAAAAGTGCCTACGAGAAAAAATCTTTCAAAGTAAATTCTATCCGAACCTGCTGGCCGAAAGTACAAGAAATGCTCAAAGAAAATTTCTCCACATTTTACGAACCTGAATTCTGTGATGCATTGCCTAGCGAAAAATACCAAATTTTTATGAAAGTAATCACAAATACTATAAAATTGAACACGCCTAAAAGAAAATTACCAAAACCACATCGTAAAATAAAAAACCCGGTAACATGGTGGGACGCAGAATGCGACAAAGCCCTACGGTTACGTAAAGCCGCTCATAAAAAATGGCAATTTACACATAAAACGAAAGACTACATAAATTATAAAAAACAAGTCACGATAACCAAAAAGACCCTCAAATCAAAAAAAAGAGAGAGCTTCAAACTTTTTGTTAAAACACTCAACCTCACGACTAACAAATCATATGTTTGGAACAAAATTAAAGTTCTTAAAAATAAATGGACAAAAATTCGTCATAATGATTTTAACTTTGACGCGGAAAAAAAAATAAAAGAAGCCTTAAACAAAGTCGCTCCTCCATGGGCCCCCATTAACCCAGATTTTCACCCACCCAGCAATATCAACGAATTTCTAAGTAAATCGTTTCAGTATTCCGAGTTTAATGCGGCCCTCGACCCGAAAAAAAATAATTCCTCCCCTGGCATGGATGGCATCGATTACGAAATTCTCCAAACTGTACCAACTAATTACAAACTGATACTCCTAGACATATTTAATGAGATGTACGCATCTAACGACTATCCTAACGAATGGAAAAAACAATACATTCACTTCATTAAAAAATCTGACGGAACCAATTACAGACCAATAGCCCTCTCCTCCTGTACGTGTAAACTGTTCGAAACCCTCATAAAAAATCGACTACAGTGGTATCTTGAAAGTAATGACCTTTTGCCAACTGCCCAATCCGGATTCCGGAAGGGCCAATCGTGTACTGACAACCTCGCGAATTTAAAACTCATCATCGAGGAAGGTTTTAAAGAAAAACAACACGTGTTTGCAGTTTTCTTGGACATTAAATCAGCTTTCGACAACGTAAATTACGAAATTCTTTTACAAGTCTTAGCAGACCTGAACTGTCCCTCGAATCTAATTGAATTTGTCAAATTTCTTATGTATGAAAGAATAATTTATGCAGACACTCTCGGCAACGAATTTAGATATGTATACAAAGGCGTCCCTCAAGGAGGAGTGTTGAGTCCTTTATTATTTATTATTTATATAAGCCTGGCCCTCAAAAATTTACCCAAAGGCGCGGTTATTTCAAAATTTGCAGACGACCTAGCCATTATTGTCAAAAAAAAATCCGCAGAAGCAGGTCTATCCACTACCGAAAAATTTGTACAAATTATAAAAACAAATCTAGATAATATTGGACTTGAACTCTCCCCTGAAAAGACAACCTTTATTCACTTTAACAAGTTGGGTATCCTTCCTGGCGAAAGCGAAATTAAGATTGATAACTCACACATAAAGTCTACAGCGTGCGCTCGCTACCTAGGTCTAACGCTAGACTACACACTGTCTTTCAAAGAACATATTTCAAATGTTAAAAAAAAATGTCTACGTGTAATGAATATACTGAAATTCCTGAGAGGAACCTGGTGGGGTGCAGATCCAAGTACTTTGATAACGCTCTACAAAAGCTACATACGACCGATAGTAGACTACGCTAACTTTGTATATTTTCCTCGTAGAAAGTCACAATTGGAAAGCCTCGAACGAATACAGTACTTGGCCATAAGATATGCATTTGGCTACAGGATCTCCACCCCGACCAACGTCCTAACACAAGAATCAAAACTTCCATATCTGTACGACAGGGGAGTATACTTGTGCTCAACATATCTGTCAAAAGTGATTACCAACAAAAGCCTACCTGTAACTAAATCAATCATCCGATTTCATGCAAAATTCAACAAACATAAAAGAAAGAGCCTTCTAGCCAAAGGTATTAGCATTGTGATCCCTCTCAGAAAACATATTAAAACTGACAAAAAATTCAACATTTACATGCACAATTACGATACACTAATCGAAAGCATAAATGTAAATCTAGAACTTGGAAAAACTGTAAAAACTAATCATTTTCCAAATCGTGTCATAGAAAATTATGTAACAAAAAACAACGCTATAGCCGTCTACACAGACGGTAGCAAAGTAACAGGAGCCCAGTCGGTTGGCACAGCATGTATATGCCCGGCATTGCAATTCACGATTGACCGCAGCGTTTGCGAACTAGCCTCCATATTCACAGCTGAATCTATTGCCCTAAACGATGCACTCGATCTTGCGCTCGAAAATACAAACAGAAACATTCTCGTTTTCACAGATTCCCTAAGCGTTCTACATAAACTAAATTCCACAATATTTGACATTAAAACAAACAATTACCTCCTGCAAATCAAAAAGAAAGTTTATGGATTCAAAGAATCTTCCCCAAACGGAAGCACTGTTCAGCTTATATGGATCCCCTCTCACATTGGAATCTGTGGGAATGAATCAGCAGACGAGGTAGCGAAAAATGCAACTAGCAAACCACACTCAAAATACGCTCATATTCCCTACTCCGACTTGCGTCAGATATTCAAAACAGAAGCATCTGTAAATACCAAGATTAGAAATATATCACTTAGTACGCACAAAGGCAGAGAATACTTTGACTACTTTGGCACAGAGGAAAATCAACCATGGTTCCACAAAAAGAATCTAAACCGCGACACCATCGTCACAATAAATCGCCTGAGAGCTAACCATTATAATTTAGCTGCCTCTTTAGCACGAGTAAACTTGGCTTCCTCCGCCTGTTGCTCATGCGGACACGATCTGCAAGACATTGACCACATTGTGTGGCAATGCCCATTACTTGACAATCAAAGGAAAAAACTTGTTAACCAACTAAAAAAACACAGGCTTCAACTACCTCTGAATATCCACTGTCTAATCTATGATCCCAAAACAGAAGTTTGTAATATATTGTATACGTTTCTCAAAAATTGTAACCTACATGTATAATATGTAAAATCTTTCCACCGCAAAACTTTCATCTATATCTACAATGTATCCTACTTGTACAGATCAAAAAATAATGTAAACTTATAGCTAAATAACTCCAAAAGGAGTTGAGAAAGCTCAATAAAAAAAAAAAAAAAAAAAAAAAAAAAATGTATTACTGTAAATGGAGCAAATCGAAAGTAAGTTCTTTTGTAGATGCTTCAATAGAGAATATAACTATGAAATATTTTTTAAGTTTTTAGGCGAAATTTAAACTTACGTACCTTAGCAGTCTTTGATGAAAATAAATGCAACGTTTTTGATCCAATAACTTACAATTTCCATTTTCATTAAGAGAAATTATGCGATCTTTTATATGTTTAAAATATCCGGAGCTGATCATGATCAGGAGAGGTGTTGCAGCATCGCATACTGCAGTGTAAATTATTGCGTTTTGAATTATAACCATTTCGAACACAAATATCGCCCAATATCCTGGCCAAGTATTTTCCATATCATCGGCAAAAAAGCTGTATAAGTTTTATTTCAACTCTGAGTACAATATTAACATAGACATTAATTTTAATAGTATAAACATTACGATAAGAAAGTTGCGTTTGAGCACTCGAAGAGAGCAGACGTGTTTATACTTGCTCCGCAATTATATTCATAAGTCGTGTGTTTACATCGCGTGCTTATCGAGTGTGGGCTTCGGCCCTTACATAGTTGTGTGCCGTGCTAAGTACGGCCGTGAATATGGCGGTTCAACAATCGGCGGAGATGCCCTCTGAACTTTCAGAGTGCATTTTTGATGCCGATCTGCCTTCTGGAGGCACCCTAACGCAGCTGAGTATACCCAAGTTCAATTCCAAAGACTTTGAAAACGACAGTTTCGCAGAAAAAACTCAAGACGAAAAGTGCTATACGCGAGAACAAGCTATAATTATGTCATGTGCCGATGACCTATTAATTAATGATTATACTGTTGCAGTCGGTACAATAGTCAAACCCGAAAACGTATTCTGTGCCTCTGAAATATCCAAAAACCGAGTATGTATACATCTTTCCAGTAAAAATCTTGTTGAGAAATTTACTTGTGAAAATCAGTCATTGGAAATAAAAGGGAAAAATGTTCACATAGACCATTAGTTTCTACAAATACAAGGATTATCTTCTCAAATGTTTCGCCTGCTATTCCTAACCGATACCTGGAAAGAATACTTGACAAACTTAAAGTGAACAGAACCTCTGTAGTAACTCGCATGAAAGTGAACATTAGTGAGCCTGGTTACGAGCACGTAGAAAGCCATAGACGACAGGTATACATCAGAGCTGATGACGCAACCAAAATTCCATCTATGCTACAGTTCACGCACGAAGGAATTGACTTTTTCATCTTTGCTGGCCCTGATGCTATGCGTTGTTTCAAGTGCAAAAAGAAAGGACATAAGGCTTTGAACTGTCCAATGTCTGAGCAGCATACAACAAATCAAGTAAACACACATACATCTGAAAAGGAATTTCCCATTCTTGAAAATAAACAAAATAGGCCACCTGCTCCAATGGATACTGTAACTTCTGCGTTCAAGAGGCCACTTTCTTTTAACAGTTCTTCTGTTACTACTCAAGTAAACACGACCAAGATAATCAAATCAAATAAACATAATAAGAAGAAAACAAAACTCGATGAAACGACTGCAGACAAGATGGCTAAGATTGATGACGCACTCAGCCCGTGTAGTGATTTGTTCTCCGCTGGACATGACGTGCCCTGTAGCTTTGAAGATTTTGCTAATTTTTATAAAAATACCTATGGCAAAAACAATTTACATCGTGAGGCTCAAAAGATTTCTGACAATAAACAAAAGATTATAGACCTAATCTCCCTTGTTTACCCGTATATCACAGTTCCAAGCGTCAAAACAAAACTCACCAAAATAAAGAATAAATTGAGTATAACAAATTTTGATGAAAACACGTTGTTAACACAAAGTGAAATAGATAGCAGTGAAATAAGTGACTCTGATACATAAAAGAGACTTAAGAAAGGCTAATGAAATAATATTAATTGACAAGGTTTTAAGAGCAATGTTTTGGAATGCTCGAAGTGTTAAATCAAAACAATAGGAGCTTGCAGCTGTGAAAAACGATTTTGACGTTCTCATATGCGTTGAATCTTGGTTGATTGAAGAGGATATTTTACATCTGCCTGGTTTCTCCACGTACAGAAGAGACCGACCTGACATCGACAAGAATACTCGCGGGGGAGGTATAATAATCTTTATTAGAAATGATTATGAGTATTACGAAATTCAAAATATTAGTTCTCCGAACCAAACGGTTGAAATGTGCGGAATAAAGATAAAAAATACGAACCCTAGCATAGAATTTATAATATGTTATAGAACTCCTGGTTCTAAACTCACCCAAAACCAATAGGATGAAATTGTAAATAATGTAAATAACCGTGAAAATTCTATACTACTTGGTGATTTCAATGCACACAACACTATTTGGAATTGTAACACAACAGATGAGAACGGACTGAGATTGGAAAACTCCATCGAAAAATGCGATTTACACTTGCACAATAATGATACTTACTCTCATTTCAATAAGCATAATACTACTAAATCCAATATCGATCTCGTTTTCACTTCTCAATGTCTAGCACATATGGTCGAAGTTACTATGAGCGATGATCCACTTGGTTCGGACCATTACCCAATTTCGATTAATATAGGCATTAATAAAGAAAAATATTCAAAAAAATCGTTCCGAATCAAATCCGTTAGAACGGACTGGGCTAGATTTCAAACCGAACTTGATGAACTGTATAATGGTTTTTTGACTCCTGAATATGAAAGATTACCACCTAATGAAAAATATGCACATTATTTCGAAGTAATTACTAAAGCTATTATAAATACCACACCTATTCGTAAAAGAATCATTAATCAGAAAAAGATAACCAACCCAGTACCGTGGTGGGACTCAGAATGTAGCAAAGTGAAACGACTACGCCAGGCTGCTCTTAAAAAATGGCAATTTACAGGTCAACTCAATGACCTGATAAATTATAACAGAAGCATAGCAATAGCCAAAAAAACCCTTAAATTTAAAAAAAAAAGAATATTTTAAAAATTTTGCAGCTAGCTTAAACATAAGGACTGATCCTAAATTCGTCTGGAATAAGTGTAAAATACTTAAAACAGTTTTGTCAAACTTAAATCAAAAACAGCCTCTGAAAATATACAAATTAGGGATAATGTACAAGCTGCTCTTGACAAGATTGCCCCACCATGGACCCAAACGGACCCAAATTTCATACCTGGAGATAATGATAACAATGAATTTTTCGATGCACCATATAGTTTTAGAGAGTTTAATATAGCCCTGGCAAGTAAAAAAATCCATTCCAGTCCTGGAATGGACGGCATTGATTTTGAGATTCTAAAAAATTTAACTCTAAAATTCAAACTTCTATTATTAGATATATTCAATGGCATGCACACTAATAATAGTTATCCAGATAGTTGGAAACAAACATTTGTGCATTTTATTCCTAAGCCTGAAAGTAAAACACTAAGATCAATCGCTTTGACGTCATGCGTCCATAAGCTATATGAAAGTTTAGTTAAAAATAGACTAGAATGGTGGATTGAACAACACAAGTTACTACCTAATAATCAAAATGGGTTTCGGAAAGGTAGATCTACCAGCGATAATTTGGTTAATTTTACCTTAAAAGTTGATGAGGCATTCATGGAAAAAAAAATATTTTTGTAAATATCTAACATACTGTTAGATAAGCTGCTGAAAATTACTCACTCTAAAAATCTACTTAAATACATTAAACATATAACTCATGAAAGGTTTATATACACGAACTCATTAAACAATGAATTTAGGGTAGTACATAGAGGTGTACCTCAAGGAGGCGTCCTTAGCCCATTGCTTTATATACTATACGTCGCAGAGATAACTCGGAACTTGCCAAAAAATGTTAACATTTCACAATTCGCGGACGATATTGCAATATATATTAAAAGCAAATCAATCAAATGGGGAAAAAATGCGATACAAAAGGCATGTAATATTATCGACAAAAACTTGAATTACATAGGGTTAGATCTTTCTCCAGGGAAAACAGTCTTTGTGCACTTTAATAACACAGGGATTCTCCCTAGCAACACAGAAATCACATTCAGGGATATCACTCTAAAATCTACCAACACAGTACGTTTTCTGGGCATTCACTTTGACTATAAAATAAGTTTTAAGCCACATTTAGAAATAGTCACCAAAAATGCTTCAAAACTTTAAACTTAATTAAATTTTTGTGTGGCACATGGTGGGGATCTTGTCCAGAGACGCTAATCACTTTGTATAAAAGCTACATAAGATCCATAATTGAGTACGGATGTTATATTTATTGCTATGATAAGGAAGAGTTCTACACTAAATTAGAAAAAATACAAAACACTGCTATCAGATCATCCTTAGGATATCGAATAACTACGCCGAAAATAGTATTAACAGCAGAATCAAAACTTGTAATACTAAAAGAAAGAATTCGATTTTTATGCAATTGTTACTTGGTTAAGGCTATGTCAAACACTGATTCTCCGATTTTAAAAAACATCGATACATACCTCAAAATTGTCAAAAGGAAAAAAATTATACCTAAAAAATTACTATTTACCTGCATAGAATCGCTTACAAATGATATTGATATAATAGATAGAAAAGATAGATTCAATCTATACCGTTATGACTACAAATCTAGTATTGCGGAAATATATGTAAATACTGAAATTGGTCAACGACTGAAAAAATCGCAAAATTCTAATGAACTTTTCAAAAATACGTTTGACAAAATAGATGCACTATAAATTTTTACTGATGGTAGTAAGCTGACTGTATCACCATCTACTGGGGCAGCTTGTATCTGCCCGGAACTTGATTTACAAATAGCTCGAAGTGTTCGCGGCGAATCCGCTCCCTTATTTTTACAATCACGCGTTCTCTCGCTTCACCTTTTACTTTTATTTCTCGCAGCAAATCACTTTTTCAAAATACGTGCTTATTCTCGAATTGCGCTGGGGATTCCCCAAAAACTTTCACTAAATGTGCTCATTGTTTTCATCGTACTCTACTTGCTAACGTAGATATTCCGTTTGCTACCTTAGTTTAGGACGAGTTATAAATTGTCTCGGTTCAGAGGAAAAAACTCTCGTAAACCTTCCAAAACACCGTTATGCTCATCCCATCATAAACGAGTTCAGCAAGTCCGGGTTTTCCCTATTTGCCCGGGCCGCTCCGCCCGCAGCGTTGGGCAATAAAAAAGGGGACTCTCTCTCTCTCGCTCGCCGCTGGCCCTCGAGTTGCCGAATTCCGCGCGGACTCTCTTCGCTACGCTTCCGCTAATCTCTGATTGGATCCTGCGAAAGGGACCCAAAAAGAGAG